CCCGCAGCTCCAGGTCACAGGTGTGTGTGTGGGGGTCCCGCAGCTCCAGGTCACAGGTGTGTGTGTGGGGGTCCCGCAGCCCCAGGTCACAGGTGTGTGTGTGGGGGTCCCCGCAGCCCCAGGTCACAGGTGTGGGGGGGGTCCTGCAGCCCCAGCTCACAGGTGGGGGGGGTCCCGCAGCCCCAGGTCACAGGTGTGTGTGTGGGGGGGGTTCCCACAGCTGCAGGTCACAGGTTTGAGGGGGTCCCACAGCTCCAGGTCATGGGATAGGGGTGGGGGTCCCACAGTTCCAGGCCACAGGGTGGGAGGTCCTGCCCCCCAGGTCACAGGTGTGCAGGGGTCCCACCACCCCAGGTCATGGATTATGGGGGTCTTGCAGCCTTAAGTCACAGGTGTGTACATGGGGGGTGTTCTGCAGCTACAGGTCCTAGGAGGGGGGGAGGGGCCATAGCACTGACAACAGCCGCTCCAGGTCGGAAGTGAGGGGGCAGCTCTAGGTCGTAGATAGGGGGTGTTTGCCGCTCTTGTGACAGCAGCTCCAGGACCAGGAATGTGGAGGGACCACACCTGCTCCACCCTGCCGCCATCGAGGGGGCATTACCTGCATGGGCTCAGGCAGGTCAGGACAGCTCCGTGACCAGCTCTGCCCTCCCACAAGCACTGGCCCCATGACCAGGGCACCTCTTGACACCCCTCTCCCTATTCTCCCTGGTGGGGTCCTCGCCCCACCACGAGGTGGAGTGAGCAGGGCAGCCTAGGCCTGGCTCCTGTGTGCCTCAGTTTCCCCTTCCATGAACGTGGCCCGGCTCAGCCCACCCGCTGCCCCCTGCAGGCGACGCCAGCGAGAGCGCCGAGGACATCTTCTTCCGGCGGGCAAAGGAGGGCATGGGGCAGGACGAGGCCCAGTTCAGCGTGGAGATGCCGCTGACCAGCAAGGCCTACCTGTGGGCAGACAAGTACCGGCCACGCAAGCCACGTTTCTTCAACCGCGTGCACACGGGCTTCGAGTGGAACAAGTACAACCAGACGCACTACGACTTCGACAACCCGCCCCCCAAGATCGTGCAGGGCTACAAGTTCAACATCTTCTACCCGGACCTGATCGACAAGCGCGCCACGCCCGAGTACTTCCTGGAGGCCTGTGCCGACAACCGCGACTTCGCCATCCTGCGCTTCCACGGGGGGCCGCCCTACGAGGACATCGCCTTCAAGATCGTCAACCGCGAGTGGGAGTACTCGCACCGCCACGGCTTCCGCTGCCAGTTCGCCAACGGCATCTTCCAGCTCTGGTTCCACTTCAAGCGCTACCGCTACCGGCGGTGAGGCTGCCCGTGCTGGCCCAGCTCGGCCCCGGCCTTCCCGTCTGTGAGATAGGACTGCCGCCGGGCCTGCATCACGGAGGGGAGGGGGCAGCCCGTGCTGCTGGGACCAGGGTTTTCTGTCCCGACGTCAGCAGGCCCCGTCTACGGCTCGGCCAGGAAACGGACTGGAGCCCCAGGGGCCTCACAGGGGTCCCCATAGAGGGACTGGACAGAGGCCAGAGCCTAGGGGGCCAGCAGGCCACACAGAAACCCATGTGCTACTTCCTGTGGACAGCTTAGGGGTGGCCATTCCCTGGCAGAGCCAAGGAGTGCTGGGTGAAGCCCTTGGGTGCCAGCCAGGGACACGTCACAGCCCAGTGCTCAGGGTTCCTGACCTGCCTGGGACACAAGGACTGGGGCCAGGAGAGCATTGGGGTCAGACAGCCCACAGCGTCCACCTGTCGATGCCCTCTGAGGCTGTCCTCCTCGCCTGGGGTCCTCCCAGCGGAAGGCCACCACATGGCCACTGGGGTCCCCAGTTCTCAGGCAGCAGGTCACGCTGGGCTGGAACCCTGAAGCCGCAGCACTGGCTGGGTGAGCTGGCAGCTGCCCCAGATGTGAACTCAGACTTTCCCGTCAGGGACACCTCACGGGTGACATGTCCCTGCTTCCAGCAGCTCCCACCCTCCCGGGTAGACTTCCCGCCCGGGGACGTTGACGGAGCCCGCACCGCCCTCGTCTGGGAGCAGCCTTTGCTTTGTTTCTCTGCAGCCTTTTCTAGGTCGGAAACAAAAACAGAGTCATGTTTTCACTTCGCGGGTTTCCGTGCATGTTTTCTTAATAAATCTTCTATTTTAGAATAACGGTCGGCTTTCAAGACCACCACCGCAGTGTAGTCACACCCAGGTGTCGCCCCGCCCCGCGTGCTGGCGCTGAACGTGGCTGCACCGTGAGCTACCAGGACCCCACCCCCGGGCCATCCTTCACGGCAGCTGCTACCCCAGGCGCAGAAACCTCCTGAGATAGTGTCCCCTCAGTGCAGGCAGGGGTGCCCGCGGACATCTGCAGACGTCACAGACCGGTGATCAGGGTGGAGTGGGTGGGAACCCCCTGTCACCTCCATAGGCTCTGGCCGTGTCAGCCAGGGCCGTGGGCAAGTCCCCCGTGAAGTGCTTCTAAGAGGACGGGGCCTCCCAGGGGCCACCTGAGACCCTGAAACACTTTCCTCCCACCGGCCCCGGGTCCGGAAGACTCAATGGATGAGTCCAGGGGCTAGGAGGAGGTGTGGCCGGCACCAGCCCACAGGCACCTTGCCGTCCCCAGGCCCCTCACTGACCCCACAAACCTCACTCCCCATACACCTCACTGTCCCAGGCGCCTCACTGACCCCACACACCTCACGGTCCCAGGCGCCTCACTGACCCCACACACCTCGCTGTCCCAGGCGCCTCACTGTCCCAGGTAACTCACTGTCCCCACACACAGCACTGTCCTTAGGCACCTCGCTGTCCCAAGCACCTCACTCTCCCAGACTCAGTGTCCCAGGCACCTCACTGTCCCCATGCGCCTCACTGGTGCCAGGCCCCTCACTGACCCCAGGTTGCAAGGCCTCTACCACAGAGCAAGGTCCAGCCCTGAAGTCATGAGTGGGGGGACAGGGAGAGCTAGGAGTCAGCCACATGTGTGTCCCACTACTCTGGCGAGGGCACTGGAGCTCAGCCAGCCCCGCATCTCGCCATCCAGTCTTCACTAGAGCTGCATAGACTGCTCCTCAGTCCCACCTACTTCACACAGGCTCCCCTCTGGGCCAGAGACAGTCTGGACAGAGGCATTCGGAAAACATCTTGACTGTCTGACCAGCCAGGGCCACAACAAGGAACACCGGGCACAGTGGCACTCACATCCCACCATTGCTGGACCCATGACAGATGTCACCAGGATCACAGAGTGGCCAGAGTAGTCAGTGTCCTCAGGGCAGCCCCTACCAGTTGAATCCAGATCTGCTCCGCCTGCCAGGTGATGGGGGACAGGCCCAGGAGGCTGTGGAGCTCCCTCGAGCCTGACCCTTGCCTGAGGGGGGCCTAACACGGGAAGGCCTTGCTCTGATCTCACAGGACATTTATGGGGACTCCTGTGCCCTGCATGGCAGGGAGCACGTCCATTTCACTGCTAGGCAAACTGAGGCTCATAGTCCTAGCTGTTAGATGCCGTCGAGTTGATCTTCCTCCCGAGTGGCCCCGTGTGGCAGAGAAGTGCCTCTTGGTTGTCACCCTCATGGGAGTGGGTTCACTGGGTCTTTCTCCCAGGCAGCCGCTGGGTGGGTTTGAATAGCTGACCTGTATGGAACACCATGAGGGTCTTCCCAAGGCTCACAGAAGCCTACTTTTCCAGCCAAGAAAGTGGCAGTTTCTCCTACTGAGAGAATGTCACCTCCCAGGTACCAGCCCCAGAAAGGCCCCCACCGCCACCGAGTCCACTGTGACCAGGCCGAGCTCTAACGGAGGTGCTGCTGCACAGGCTGGCAGGAGGCGCTGCCCTCTGTGGAAACAAGTCCATTGTCTCAATTTTGGGGAACTTCCCTCCAAGTCTGGAGGAAAGCCGGGCAGATATTCCCAGCCTGAGGAGTCCAGGGGGACACTGGGACTGAGAGGGTTCAGGAGGGATGCTGAGGGGACCCCCTGTAGGTGGCGATGTGGGGAACCACCTTGCAGAGGACAGGTGGCAAGTGAGCAGGGCAGGGCACACAGGAGACATGGCAAGTCCAGGACCTGGACCCTCCAGGGCCCCAATGGAAAGTGAAGTGAGCTGGGCAGGGCCCCTGGGCTGCATGGCAAGGGGACCCTCCCCCACAACCCAGGAGGAAATAAACTGCCTTGAGCCCCCGCCCAGTGAGGTGAACACACTTCCGGACGCTGCCTACAACCCCCATCCCATCCCAGCGTCTTCCTGCCCTCCACTCGGCTCTGCAGGCAGCTAATAATAGACACCCCCACCCCCTCAGCTCCCGGAAACCACAGCCATGGGGGGCACGTCCTGAGCCTGGCTTCTGTTCCCACCATCTGCCCCCCCCCGGCTGCCTCGGTGACCCCCAGGCTCCTGTCCACCAGTATGCAGACAGAAACCAGGACCAGCACCCTTCAGCCAGCAGCCCCGGAGGCGTGGAAGCTGAGCCCACCTTCAAATCTATATGTGGCCTGGGGCTCCTGGTTTCCTCCTTCTGGACCTCAGTTTCTCCATCTATAAAATGGACCTCTTTACACACACACCCCCACCTGGCAAGTGGTAAGTCTCAGCCTCAAGGGAAATGACCTCACCAGACTGCGTCCCAGAAGGGACACTGTCTTAGCTATCTTGGAGTTATCCCGGGCCCAAAGCTGAGGAAGTGGGGTGGTCCCCGCGCCCACCATCTGGAGCTCCAGCCCCGCCTTCTCTCCCAGCAGCTCCCCTCTCTCTGTCTCTTGTTCTTTGCACCACTGCCACGCCTTCCCCACTGGGAAACCCCCGCCAAGCCCCATTTCCCATGCCCTCTGCTCCCAACTCACCTCCCTGTCACCGCTTCCTCTGGTCCTGGCCTGAATTCAGGGCCGTGGGCATCTCTGAGGTCAGGGCTGCATCCATCTCTTATCTGGGACTCACAATGCTTCCCAACATGGGCTTGGCACTGAGTTACACTTAAAGAGGAGTTGGGGTGAGATCATGGGGCCTCAAAGTCAGGGTTTGGATGGATGGATAGGAGTTGGAGAGAGGCTAATTGGTTCAGACAGTGAGAGCCTCTGGAGGGATGTAAGGTGGGAGCAGGAACCCGGAGACCCGGAGGACATGGGTGGGGAACCAGGGAAGGGCTTAGATACAGCTGCGGGGAGGCCGGGGCCAGGTGGACCATCCACAGTCCTTGCTCAGAGACTGAGCCGAAAGGAGGGTGAGACCAGGCTCAGGGCCAAGGCCCTGCTGACCGAGGTGTCAGGCCACTTGGCTCAGTCCCCAAGGACACTGAGGAGGAAGGGCCAGCCTAGACCCTTCTGCCATCACCCTCAGGCCCTTGACCCCGAGCCTGCCTCCCAGCAGTTCCCAGGCCAGCGGTACCCCCAGCCTGTCAGCCCCCCCCCCCCAGTGCCCTCCATTCTTCCTTCCTTACCCCACACTCAGGGGCTCCCAGCTACTTGAGGACCTTCCTCTGGGAGCCTTCCCCTCACCTGCTCCCAGAAAATCTCTCTGCTGCAAAGCTTCTCGAACAATCTCTCTGGAGAGGTCTGAAGCCCTAAAGTGTGCTTGCACCCCCTCTCAGTCCTGAGGGTCAGGGCCAGGAACAGGCTCAGCATACATTAGGCACCTACTGTGTGCCAGGCCCACGGGATGGGGTGAGCCTGCTGCTAGCCTGTCTCGGGGTGACCGCGGGGAGCTGGCCTCCCGGGACAAACACCCTGCCTGCACCTCCCCGCGGGGTGCTTCCCTGCCCTGGGCCTCCCAGTGCTGCCAGGCAATGATGAATAATGGGGTCTTGGTGGTGGTGGAGGGGCCCCAGGGAGGCCAAGGGGCCTGGAGCTGCAGACAGGGTGACCTCCGACCGCGCCTGTTCCCTAGGGCCCCGCAGACACCCCCTCCTCCAGGGGCACTGACGCCAGGCTGGGCCTCGGGGCGTGGCCAGGCTGGGAGGGGGAGGCGCTAGCAGAGACAGACAGACCGGGACAGACAGACAGAAAAAGAAAGGGCAGAGTGACAGCCTCTGCTAGAGAAGACCCTTCACGGGCTACTTTTAGCACTGACACCCCCGCCAGCTCAGGGAGCCTCCCCCCTTTTAGCTCGGACCCTGGCCCGCAGGGCCCCTCTGTCCGCGTCCCCACCCAGCCCGCAGGCTGAGCCCAGCGACGTGGCGGTGTCCCCGACTCTGTTTCTGGGGTGGCTCCCCCCGCAGGCCGGCGCCTGGCCTTCCCGCCTTCGGGCGCCCCAAGTCTGCAGGGAGCCTGGAGCCGCATCCGCTTCCCTGGCAGGTAAGGGCAGGGCAGTGCGGGAGATGGGGGCGTGTCGCTGGGAAGGCCAGGTGTGAGGCAAGGGGGGGACTCGGGTGTGACCGCGCCTGGGGGGCCAGAGAGACTCCTGGGTGTGGTCAGAGTGAGGACCCCAGTGGGGACTTGTCAGTGTCTGACCGTGTGTACCTGCCTGCGTCTGTGCGTCTCTCACCACGTGTGTGCCCATGTGTCCGTCTGTGCCTGTGTCTCTCTGCCTAGACGTGTCCGGTGTCTGTGTAGGGGAATGTGGTGTGCAGGAACGCATCTGTGCGTGGCACATCAAGGGGCAGTGGTGGACCCTTTCCTCCTCCACAAAGCTAGGCCCCTGGGAGGGAGGCGGGTCTGCCCCCTCATTCCCACACTCCCCCTGTGGCATCCCAGCAGAGCCAAGGTGAGGCTGCAGAGAAACCCATTTGACAGATGAGGACACTGAGGTTCTGAGGGGACCACCTGCCTGTGACCGAGCCTGATTGAAGGGCCCCCTCTCTGCACCATTAGACGCGGGGGTGGGGTTAGTGTCACAAACAGGAAAAGTTCGCGGAAACCAGGCCCTCCAGTGGCTCGTGCAGTGGGGAGTGGGGGCCTGCGGCTTGTCAACGTTGCCTGTGTCTGGTGTTTGTCCTCTGTGTTGACCTTTGTGTTGGTCACACGAGACGGGGTTACCTGTGGGCCTGCATCAGTGTGAGCCTCTTCTGGCCCTGGGAACTCACCTGGTGCCCGCAGTGTCAGGGAAAGCATGTCTCTAGCCTGCGTCAGGGAGAGACTGAGAGTATGTGAGGCTGAGGGGCCCTGGGCCCTGAAGCTCTGGGGCCCACCTGGTGGCCTTCACCACAGAAGCAGGACACCCCTAGGCTGAGGCACAGCGGGGCCAGGCTCAGGGCCAGGAAAGGGGTAGTGGGCCTAGAGACAAAGAAGGCTCTGGAGCCCATTTCCACGATGGGGGAAACCAAGGCTCAGCCGACTCTAGCCCCCAGCTGGGGGTTCTCTGATCACAGACCTGGTCTGAAGCAGAGATGTGGCTAGCAGAGGCTGGGCAGGGCCAGGGTGTGGGGACAGGCAGCGGGGCTGGCCAGTGGGTGGGGGCAGGGACAAGACTTCATGACAGCCGGGTGGATGGAGATGACGTTGAGGGAGGAAGGGAGTGGGGCGGGTGACGACAGGGAATGTCAGGCCGCTGAGGGTGGTTCTGAGAAGCCAAATACACATTCCATGTGAAGCGGTCAGCGGAGGTGGGGGCCTGGTGCCAGGCCTGAGGGGCTCCCTTGGGGCCCCAAGCGGCAATCTGAGAACAGAACCCCCGACCCTCCAAGTTCAAACTTCTAGGTCGTCAGGCTGTGGGATCCAGGTCTGTACATGCTGTGGGCACAGAAAGGGGACAGTCCCATAAGGTCACGAAGCATAGCTGGATCTGTGTTGGGAGGAGGTGAGGGCCAACTGGAGAGGAGCAGGGAGCACATGCGGGTCCTCCAGTAGCCACCACCTGGGGAACTTGACTCGGCCACCATCACTTGTACTGGGCGGGGAGCCTGGAAACTGCCAGCCGTGGCCAGAGGACCGGGTGTCAGCTTCTAGCCTCCCCCATGCCGAGAGCTCGGTCTTAGCGTGTGTGAGAGCTTTGTGTGGGTGTGCTCTGTATGTGTGTGGTTTGTGCTCGGTGGGTGTGCTCTGTATGTGTGTGCACGCACGTGAATGCACTGTGCATCGTACACACACACACACATACACACTCTGCACGTACACACACTCACGCTCATAGGAGCAATTCAGAAACATCACATACCAGCTTGTTAGGGAGTGAGCTCCCTGTCCCTGGGAAGAATTCAAGTGCAAACCAAATCTGAAGCTGCAAAGAGAATGTTACTGCCCCAGAGTCTGTCATGAGTCAAGACCCCTGGTGACCATGGCAGGGCCCGGAACCTGGCTCTCTGAGCCTCAGTGTCCACCCTGAGGTCCCAGCCCCACTGAGCCAGCTGTGGCCTCGGCTGTGGGCTGGAAGGAAGCTCCTGTGTGACGGCACCTGGATAATTCATGAGGTGAGACCGTGGTGTGGCCAAGGTGGTAATGCAGGAGATGGGGAGTCAGGGCTGGTAACCACACTGCCCGCGGGCACTGGCAGCAGACCCTGAGCACCTACCATTATGCCAGAGGCTGGATCAAGTCCCTCCCACCTCACTTCATTTTATAGGCAGAGAAATTGGGGCTCAGAGTAGAGACATGGGTCTGACTTCAGTAGGCAGTCGTGTGGTCAAAGCACAGAACAAAAGACAGCACATTAAGATTCGGATCTAAACAGGGATTTCGGCAGCGTTCCCTCTCCTCAAGGCAAAGTCATGTGATTACGCCCCATACCTGCAGCCTGCCTGCCGTCCCACGTAATGTTCATAAGCATTTACACATGTTTACTGGGTTTCTGAGCCCCACAGTTTGTGTATGACCTCTACACCTAAATACTGGTGACTCCAAGAGGAGCTTTGGTGGTCTAGTGGCAAGAAGCTGCATTGCAATCACAGAGGTATGCGGTTCAAATCCACCAGATGCTCTGCTGGAGAAGGAGGGGCAACTTCCTCCTGTACTGGTCAGATCCAGTTTGACGGTTGTTGTTGTTGTTATGTGCCATAGAGTCATTTGTGACTCATAGCGACCCTATATACAACAGCCCTAAACCCTGCTCTATCCTGTGCCAATCGCACTGCCTCTGACACACCCATCCCGATTACCCCAGTCACTGAATCAATCCATCTCATAGAAGGTCGTCTCCTCTTGTGCCGTCCCTCCACCCTCCCAAGCATGATGTCCCTCTCCAAGGACCTGTCCCTCCTTGCAACATGCCCAAAGTATGTCAGACGAAGCCCCAGAATCCTTGCCTCCAAGGAGTAGCTTGGTTTAACCCTCTCCAGGATGAATCTGTTTGTTTTCTTGGCAGTCCATGTTACATTCAATACTCTTCTCCAGCACCACAGTTCAAAGGCATCAATTCTCCTTCTGTCCTCCCTAGTCATTGTCCAACTCTCTGACGCATAACAAGTGATTGCAAAGACCATGTCCTGTATCAGGCGCACCTTAGTCTCCAGAGAGACACCATTGCTCTTGAGTACTTTAGAGAGGTCCCTAACAGCAGACTTTCCCAGCAGATTTGACGGTACAAACACAAAAAGTAATAAAATTTAAAACAAACAAGCAAGCAAAAAAACCCTGGTGGCTCTAAATACCCTACACACACACACACACACACACACACACACACACGTAGGTCAGGCACCTCAGAATAAAGATCTGGCAATCTAGGAAAATCAGTGTCTAAAAACCCTCCTGGGGTGCAGTTCTTCTCTGACACCTATGGGGGCGCCATGAGCTGGAACTGACTGCGTGGGAACCAACATCAAAAACACATGTATAAGATTCATGTAACTGAGCCGGAGTTTAAATCCCAGGTTGGTTTCTGCAGGACCTGACAGTCTTGGACAGTTATGTGATCGCCCTGTGCCTCAGTTTCCCCGCTTCTGCAATGTGGGAGTCTACGTAATGCCTCCCAGCTTTCAGAGCATGGCTCTGGCAAACTCCTGCCCAGCCTTCAATGCCCTGCACACTTCTCCCCACGCCAAAAGCATCGTCACCGCTAACTTGTGGATAATTTGCGGTCGGTGCCAGGGCAAGGGGCAGGGGAGCCGGCTTCCATCCTGACCCCCTGCGTGACCTTCCACAAGTCACTGCCTCTCTGGACTTCGAGGTCCTCTGGAGTGTTGTCCTTTTTGGGACTTGGGCTTGTTTATTTACTGAGTGGTCTTGCTTCATTTTTAGTCCATTTCATCACAGCTGGCCTTGGTTCCGTGGCGTGGCTGATTCATCCACATGCGGTCATCAGCTGTGGCTCTCTGCTGTGCCTCCAGGCCCACGTCGGGGGACAGGTCCCTCTGCTGCCTTTTATAACCCGTCCCTGGGGAACCCAGCACTCCAGAATGAGCTGGAAGTTCTTTCTTGTACCTAAAACGGGACTGGATTTTTCTAGCTGCTTATTCTAAAAGCGAGACCACAAAAGTGGGGGGAAAGGAAGCCACATTGGCCTGAAGTGGGTGAGGAAGGGTGGAAACATCCCCCAGTGTCCCTAAGGCACCAGTGGGGTTGCCCTCCCTCACAGGCCTTCTAGAAAATTCTTGCCATGTGAGGCTGTGACCGTGGACTGAGAGCCAGCCAGGACCTCCTAGAACCAGGCGTGTCCTGGAAGTCGGAAATTCTGCTTGACAATGAGAAAAATCTGGTTGGGATGGTGCTGTAATCTGCTAAGAGTCTGGACAGACAACAGAGGGGGAAACTGAGGTACAGAGTGACAAAACCATCACCCTGGAGCCATATGGTAAGCACTAAGGCTGCAGTTCAAACCCAGGGCTCTTCAGCCCTTCTCTGGGACAAATGCTTCCTGGTGTCCCTGTTGCGCTCTAGTCCCTAAGGGGCACTGAGTCCAAGGTAGGAGGGAGCATGAATGTAGTCGTCAGGGGAGTAATAGTAATAGTGTTATTAGTAATAATACAACCCATGTGAGGAGCAAGCTATGTCAGGAAAGGCTTTCTCAAAGATGGGATTTTTAGCAGGGGCATTGAAGGCTATGTAGGAGTTCGCCAACTCACCAGTCCATCCTCTCTTTCCCTCGCAGGTGAGCCTGGGCCAGTGCCTGCTTGTCCCACCTGCAACCTCAGCCCGATGGAGTGGTGAGCATCTGCGTCTAGCTAGGGTGTCATGTGGCCCAACAACAGCTCGCTGGGGCCCTGCTTCCGGCCCACGAACATCACGTTGGAGGAACGGGGGCTCATCGCCTCGCCCTGGTTTGCCGCCTCCTTCTGCCTCGTGGGCCTGGCCTCCAACCTGCTGGCCCTGAGTGTGCTGGCTGGCGCCCGGCAGGGTGGCTCACACACCCGCTCGTCCTTCCTCACCTTCCTGTGCGGCCTGGTGCTCACGGACTTCCTGGGGCTGCTGGTCACCGGGGCCATTGTGGTGTCCCAGCATGCCATCCTCTTCAACTGGCACGTCGTGGACCCCAGCTGCAGCCTCTGCCACTTCATGGGGGTGGTCATGGTCTTCTTTGGCCTGTGCCCATTGCTGCTGGGGGCCACCATGGCCTCAGAGCGTTACCTGGGCATCACACGGCCCTTCTCGCGCCCAGCCGCCTCCTCGCAGCGCCGGGCCTGGGCCACGGTGGGGCTGGTGTGGGCGGCTGCCCTGGCCCTGGGGCTGCTGCCGCTGTTGGGCCTGGGCCGCTACTCGGTGCAGTTCCCCGGCTCCTGGTGCTTCCTCACGCTGGGCGGGGAGCCGGGCGACGTGGCCTTCGGCCTGCTGTTTGCCCTGCTCGGCAGCTTCTCCGTCGGGCTGTCCTTTCTGCTGAATACCGTCAGCGTGGCCACCCTGTGCCGCGTCTACCACGGCCAGGAGGCTGCCCAGCAGCGGCCCCGGGACAGTGAGGTCGAGATGATGGCCCAGCTCCTGGGCATCATGGTGGTGGCCAGCGTCTGCTGGATGCCCCTGCTGGTGAGTAGCAGGAACCCTGGTGGTAATGACCCTGAAGCAGGAGGAGGGCCTTTACCGAGAGGATATTGGAAGACGCAGAGGAGTTCACCCACTGGGGCTTCTCCTCCTCTCGGCCTAGTCAAGGGTGGCTAGCTGGGCTTTGAGGATTGCAGGCTTCAGGAGCAGCCTGTGCAAAGGCCCTGGGGCAGGACAGCACCTGGAGGGCTGCAAAGAACAGCAAGGAGGCCCATGAGGGTGGAGCAGGGGCAGGCGGGGAGGGGAGGACAAGGAGAGGACAGAGCAGGGCCTGCAGGACCTTGTAGGTCACGGGAAGGACTTTCACAGGAAAGAGGTGGGATCCCACAGGGCAGTGGACAGAGGGGGGCTGGGCCTGACTCAGCTCTCGTGCGCCCTCTGGCGGCTGTGGGCAGAACAACAGTGTGAGGTGCAAGCGAGTCTGGGACCAGGTGGAGGAGGCACCTGAGCTGGTCCAGGTGGGCGATGATGGAGCAGGTGGAGACAGAGGAGGGGAGTGGCACGTGGAGACTTGGTACATGACATGCACGCAATAAATAACAATAATGCACAAATGCGGAAACATTATTGGTTCTATGAGATCAAATAGACCTTCTGGAGGGGGGCAATCGCCATCCTGCAGCCACCTCTGCTCTGGCTACTTCTGGTGCCGCTCCGTCCCTCTGCAGGGATACAGGCGGTCTCCCTCAGCCCAGATCCCCGGCTCATCACGCCCTTCAGGCTCCCTGGCCCCGGCCAACTCCTAGGACAGCCCCTGCCAACTCCTAGGACAGCCCTTGCCCAGCTCGAATACCAGATCGTCAACAACAGCAGAGAGCAAATATTTTTGACCGGCAGCCCATCTGGTCTCTGTCCTCTGTGGCGACTCCTTAACCCTGAAAGCTGTGCTGGGTGCACATTGTCAACAGGCACACTCACACGTGGCCGTGCGCCGATAACGCTGGATATATGACCCCGACGTTTGAATTCATGCCGTTTTCAAGGGTCACGAGATAGTATGTGGCTTTTCTTCCCCACCCCCAACCCGTCATGAGTTGCATTTTTTAAAAATGCAAGAACGCTCTTAGCAAAAGAAAAAGTAACCTAGTAACTGAGATGATGGCCAGACCTTTATCTCATTGTTCCCAGATCAGAACTGGGCCAGGAAACAGCTTGATAAAGGTGCACAGTAACACCTGTGGAGACAGCACCCGACGCCTTAGCTGACACAGTGCACTGGGAAAATCTTCAGCAAAAGATATCTTTAAAGTGTCAATAGAGGATGGCTGTCATCTTGCGGACTAAGGTGTGCCTGGCCCCCGCCATAGTATTTTCTATCTATTCATGTGGATGTGTTAAGGATGACAGAGGGATTGATGCCTTTGAATGATGCTGTTGGAGCGCCAAGGATCCCATGGACCGCCCAAAGGGAGGGTGCGGCCTGAGCGCCCCTCGGAGGCGAAGATGAGGAAGCTTCATCTCACAGACTCTGTGCATGTTGCTGGGAGAGGCTATTCCGTGGAGAGAGACATCGTGCTTGGGAAGGTGGAAGGACATCAGACGGCTTGACACAGTGCGGGGGGCTCCACAGCATAGGCAAGGGGTCACGCCTGCTGTGAAAGTCAGACAGTGAAGGAAGAAGACAAAGGAGACTCGTCACCTGTGAAGCGCGGTGACGGTGAAGAGCGCTGACGATGTCACACACGGCCAAGGGGACGCAGGACCCCGGCGTAGAGGTGAGGATGGTGGGACTGCGGGCAGGTCAGGAGGGCCCGTCTCTGGGAAGGACACTGGGCTCCGTGAACTGAGAGGTCAGCTAAAAAGAGGCCAACCCTGCAAAGAGGAGCCTGCACGGTGACCGCCACAGTGGACACGGACAGCAGTGGGTGTGCGGGCGGACGGGGCTGACTAGGGCTCTCGTCTGCTGGACATGAACTGGAACCAAGTGGGCAACACTGCATAACTACACCACAGCTCCTCCGGCTCTGACAGCACCTGGGGTCCCCGCCCCAGCTCCTCTCACCTGCGCTGAGACATCGGTCTGTGTCCATCGCCCTGAACGGACTGTGAGCCTAGGAGGTGAAAACTGGCTCTGTCTTGGCTCTTCCTGTGTCCACTGCAAAAAGAAGAGAGAGAAGGGGGCTCTGGTGGCCTAGTGGCAAGAAGCTGCCCTGCAATCCTAAAGGTATGCGGTTCGGATCCACCAGATACTCCACTGGAGAAGGAGAGGCAAACTCCTCCTGTGCCAGTTGGATCCAATTTGATGGTACACTGAATTAAAAAGAAAAATAAATTTTTAAAAAAAGAAGAAGAAAGAGAAAGAGAGAGAGGGAGGGGGTAGAGAGAGGAAGACAAAGAAGGAGGAGAAAAAGAGGAGGAGGAGGAGAAAGAAAGAAAGAGAGAGAGAGAGAGAGAAAGAAAGA